GAGTCGAGGAGGCAAGCAACAACGTGGATGGGGCAAATCGGGGCCGGCGGTGATGGCGGTTCTCCTTGCTGCAACGAAGAGCTCAAGCTCGATTTCGGCGGTAGGGAGAATCGGGTTGACGTTCATGAGAATGGGGTTTGGATGGAATAGGCTTTGAGAGCTGCTGGGGTGGGTTTTATAACTGCAACGGGGCTAATCGGCTAGGACACGGATTGCTACACCATGAATGCGCCGATAGCTAGTGTGAAAAAATTGGACAATGAAAAGCTTTTTTTTACCAGAAAACTATATGAAATGAGGCGCTAATTCTCAAAAAAAAAATTAAAATCCCGATGGGCTAGAGATACCCTAACCCTGAACCAGCCTCTTCGCCTGTGCGCAGCGCTTCCTCCCCCACCCCGACTCCTCGATACTCCTGCCGCCACCCAACATGGGGAAGAGGCTGAGGTCGACACGGCTGCCACCCGCGGCGGACACACAGCAGTCCAAGCGATCCAGCAAGGCGGCGGCGATGTCCGACTCTGACGGCGACGAGATTGACGCCTTCCCCAAGCAGCGGGACGCCATCCCCCTCGACGCCGACGACTCGATTCATCCAGAGAAGGAGGATCCGGTGCAGCCTGTCAACGATCTCGAGGGTGTTTCCGGCCATGAAACTGATAATGGCGAAGAAGGCAAGGACGGCGATGGAAGTGATGACAGCGAAGGAGGTAAGCACCGCGACGCGGGCGCAGATAGTTACGAGGTATGGGACAAAATATATATGGCAAGAATCAAGAGAGCGAACAAGGCAATCCAACAAATTTTTGCCGGTGATGATAGTTCGGGTGAATTTGATTGGGGTAGCGGAAATACATTATACTATGATGGCGATGAGCATGATGCTGATGATGTTGACTGTGAAGAGATAAGGAGGATACAAGTAGAGAAGAACAGTAAGCTGTCAGTGAAATATTTCAGATTAGACGACGATGATGAAAGTGATGATGACGAGGGCAAATCTAGCAATTTACTGGTTCTGGACAAAGTAAAACGGGGTGCTGAAGCAGCCAAATTGACAAAGAATGGGCCTTCTAATGGGCACCATGAAATTGCCAAAAGGAAGAGCAAGGATGAAGGAAAAAGGGCTGAGAAGGGGTTGAAGGAACAAGGGTTGAAGCCAAAGTTGTCAAAAACCAGGGCAACCAATACTAGGATAAACCTGCAGACATTGGATGACTTTGATGATGAAGTGCAGAAAAATAGTCAAGTGATCAAACCTAGAAAGCTTCTGGTGAATGCCACTGGCTCAAATAGAAACAAGGTATGGGGTATTTTCATGCAGGTTTCTTATTTTTGCTGGGTACCTTCATAACTAGCTATTTTTTTAACTTGCGCGAAATCTAAATGTCTTGTGATAATGATCCAAACTGCCCTTAATTAACTAGTCTTTTATGCATATGGTGCAAATTACAAGTTCATAACTACAAAACTACACAGGCAAGTACACATACTGTCATGTAGGACCGAAATTTCAATGACCATATGTTTCTTGCTGTAGATTCTTGCTAGTATTCAGTTGAACACTACATTAGAGAATCATTCTGATCTCGACCAAGTTGATATCTGTTACATTTTTAGTTGGTAATCTACGATTTTTTAACATTGCCACTTTCCTTTTGTCACATTTTTTCTGCAAGGGGGTAATTTGATAGAAACCTACATTCTTGCTAAATCTGAAGTCTCACTGAGATAACAAAACCTGCAGTCTTCTGGTCTACTTTGGCTCCTTGTCAAGTTGTTTGTTTCATCAGGACACACAGTTTGAAGTATCCAAGTATTGACCTCAAATGTTTTATTGTTCTTTTTTGTTGTTGCCAAAAGTGGGCTGATTTTCTGCATACGTGCTGTTACTTATGCTAATTTGATAGAACCTTAACTGAATTGATACTACATCCTTACACCCAGCCATGTTACAGATATTATCAACCACCACATACTATACATTATTTGAATTATCATTGTATCCAGAATGTTAGCGAATTTTGAGGATTATTAAGTGATTTTGGAGTTGCTGGTGTGTTTTAAATATTGATTCCAAGGTTTCTCGGGTGCACTGGGACTTTTCTTACTCTGCAAAAGGGAATTAGAATTTTGATAATATAATAGGACATGGTAATTATTGGAATGAGTACCATTGTTGGTAAAACATATCAATAATGAATTGTGCTACACTCAGGGACACTAGCTATGCTTGCGTTCCAGCTTTAAAAACCTTGGCACCACATCTCCGCATTCCTATCAACATTTGTTTCAATAAATATGAACTAGCCAACGATGCTGGTCATTTTTGGGGTCAAAATGTTGGGTCATGCTTGAATCTTGCTGCTTTGTTAGAGTTTGTAATCTTTCTGCTCTGCTGTTCCAGAACAGCCTTTGTGCTATATTATCTGTCATGTTAATAGAATGACTTATGCTATCAAGTGCATATAAGTGTTGTTCTTAGAACGCAAACCTTGTAACCCTTGTCTTACCAAAGATATCTTCTGAAATACTTGATGAATTTATAATTGTTGACTATTGCTCATATGCAAAGCTAGATCAACCCTTTAAACAAGTTCTTGTGCTTTGTCTATCGATTTCTGTGTTCTTTCCATTGTCGTTATATACTTATATTTGTTGTTATAATGGCTGTAGCTATTCCTAACCTTTTTCCCCCCTCTTCTGGCCATCAGTTCAAGTCTGTTTCTGGTGATGATGACATTTCAAAGCGAGATGAGATTGGTGAAAGACGTCGAAAACACGAACTACGTGTTCTTGCTCGGGTAGGAACCAATACACGTGGAGACAACAAGGGCAATGATGATGAAGCGTCGGAGTCTGAAGATGAATTCTACAAAGATGTCAAAAGGCAGAGGACCGAAAAGCGCTTGCGCAAAGAACAGAGCGCCCCTATCACCGGGCCGTTGGCAGAAGAAGGCGAAGGAGATGGCAAGAGGAGGGGGATCTCGCGCCAGATCGAGAAAAACCGAGGGCTGACTCGCTCCAGAAACAGGAAGCTCAAGAACCCACGGAAGAAATACAGGGCTAAGAGTGAGAAACAGGGACTTAAGTGGAGAAGTCAGGGGCATGGCGTGAAGAAGGCCTCCGGTCCATACGGAGGAGAAATGTCTGGCATTAATCCGAACGTCAGCCGTAGTGTTAGGTTCAAGGGTTGATGGCATGCATGAAAAAATTTGTTTGGGTTCGTTTGCGTGGGACAATGAACATTTCGTCTGATGGTGATTTGAGTTTGTAGTCGTAACATTTTAATACATTTGCACTGTTTATACAGTTAAAAAAGTTGCAGCCGGTACGGTGGTTGCTTCAGACGGTTGATTGTGTGTGATGAGAATTGGAAGCGGATGCGAGGCGAGGCTCAGTGAAAGTTTTTAGCTCCAACATCTTGTTGTTATGGTTAAATTGCCTCATGTGCCTCCAACCTCCTACCCTCGAGAGCCAAGGTTACACCAGGCAATGGTTTTGCAACAGAGTGTATATCTGGTAGAGTGGCAGGCCACCCTGGGCCCATTCCAGGCCAGCAGCAAACTGCGCTGCAATTGATTCTCGAATTGATGCGTTTGTTTTCACACACAAAAAAGAAAAGAATTGATGTGTGTTCTGAGTTTGATGCAGTGAAAGTTTCCATGGTCAGCACTGGGAAAGATGTGGGATCCAGCTTTTGATTGCTCCCGATTCTCCTCCTGCCGGTACAAAAGCCAACCCCTGGAAATTTTACTGTCAAGTGGTGATAATATATCCTTTGTAGGTTTGGTATAATGTTAAATGGCTGCCGTTCACTGGGAGTAAAGTCCCAGCGAACCCAGCCATTTGATCGGGATCAAACAGTGTCGGTTTTCACAAAAAGAATACCTTCACAAAATAAAAACTGTCAACCCCTACAACTAAAGTTGCCACACCTCTACAACTAAAACTGCCACCCAAATCGTTCGCAAATGCCGTCCCCTCCTCTACAACTAAAACAATAATGCTAAACATACAAAAAGTTACACGCAATTATACGCTGACTAGGATTTTTTCCATCTACTAACCAATCACAAACTTGCCTCCCCCCTGATTTTCAGGGGGATGGGCCGCCTCCCCATCTATTGACCAATCAAATTAACCCTTTTTGTAAAACCTTGTAACTCGTTTATACGTGTAGCATTACTCCAACTAAAACTGCCATCCAAATCGTTCGCAAATGTCATCCCCTGCTGGCGAGCGTTCGTTCGCAAATGTCATCCCCTGCTGGCGAGCGTTCGCCAGCTATCGGGGTCCTTGTACGTTTTAGTTGATGTAACATGGCGCTCCTGGTGAGAACTTCTGATCTGGCCAGGCTTCTGTTCATGAATCAAACAAGGTACATGCAAGCACATGCATCGAACCACATGTGAGAGCTATTTTAGCACCTTCATCATCTAAACCGCTTCAAAATCACTGAAATCATAGCCCCCAGTTTGCATCCAATAGGTTCGGTGCAAGCTTTTGGCTCCGACACTTAGTCGTACATGGCACACAAAGCAATTCATATAGATTTCACAAGGCGCCTCTTTATTTCGGGGCTTTCAGGGCAAAGGTTACAGCGGACCTTGGTTTTGCACCTCAAAAGTTACAGCATTTAGCCCAACGATTTGTTGCATGGTACACACGTTGCCCTTCATATAGGTCCCCACAGGAGGCCTCGTTATCTCGAGGGCTTTGGGGGTAAAGTTACAGCAGACCAGCTTTCAAGAAACAAACGACAAACTTGCAACAAAGACCAACCTAAGGCAAAATCCGAACAAGTGAAAACCCTCCTTTTCTAAACTTGTGGCTGCACTTTTGTGTGCAACAGATGACTAAAGCCCGTCTTACACTTCTGCTAGGTTGACAGATTACAAAAAAGACAGACGACCAAAACTGGGTTGAAAGTGACTAGAGTACATCAATCCATCAATGGATAGAGCAACGTGGCACATGAGACAATGGTAAAAAGGCGGTCACTTCAGTAGCATTTCAGCAATCTGCACAGCGTTCAGCGCGGCGCCTTTACGTATCTGGTCTCCACAGACAAATAACTCCAACCTGCCATTGAGGAGCTGATTAGGTTCCGGTATACAGGAACATTTTAAGTGCAAGCGATGCATAACAAACAGATGATTACAACAGTAAGTGTAAAACGTGAGTGTACCCTCTGTTATCATCTTGTGACAAGTCCTGGCGAATCCTACCAACTGATACGTCATCTTTATCCGATACCTGAAAATTAGAGTTCTATCAGAATTAAAGAAAATCTGCTCTACTTTTCTAACAAGTAACAGGCTAGTGTAGCTTCGTGAAAGGGTGGAGTGTGCAGCATATAGTTAGTAAATAACAAATCTCCTGTCTTCTACTCCCTCCGTTTGGAATTACTTGTCTCGGAAATGGATGTATCTAGAACTAAAATACGTCTAGATACATCCATACCTACGACAAGTAATTCGGAACGGAGGGAGTAGATCACAAGGAATCTCATGAGTGGAATGTACGTGAATAAAAACAAACAAATCGCCGCTCCAAATATGTTCATCTTCAGAAAATTAAACTGCCCAATTACCTCCAGTGGTGTAGGGAAGCGGTTGGCAGCACGGTCGTCACTAATGGTAACACCAGGAGCTGCCCTCAAGATTTCTCTGGCAGTGTCCTTCAAGAACATATGCAAACAATTTCAGAATTTGAACAGCTAATACATCATGAAGAAGAACAGAGGATCATCTAATAAGGTGTGTTCTTTGTTTACATGGGACAAGAAATGGAAATTGTATTAAGTGTCAAAAGTTAATTAAATGACCTACCCAACAATGACAACAGACAAGTTCCACAAGAAACCGTTTACAATTCTACTTGCCGAAAACAAGGAAAACAAAGCCATGCTAGGCCAATAAACATATTTTTACCCAGTGACTCAGGACCTGAGATTGTAACAATTCAGGAAAGAATTCTACGTACTAACTGATACGTAACACAATTACAGTATGCTAACCTCATCAAGTGGCTTTTCAAACTGTAGATTCACGCTTTCGGCATGCGCGCGCATCGTAGGAACCCGTATACAAGTTGCAGTTACTCTTACATCCTTGTCATTCTAGAAACAGAGCAGAGAGTTAGTATGGCATTTCTGTTTGCTCAACAGCCAACTTAAGAGAAAAGTTTGATGGAGTAATGCAAAGAACCTATGGGGCATTGATCAAGCTTCCACTTACCCAGATTTTTCTGGTCTCCTTCACCATTTTCATCTCTTCCTCATTATAGCCATTTTCAACAATAGGTGCATTATGCGAAAATATATTAAAAGCATACTGCAGAAGGAAAAATAAATTAAGCATGTCTTATGACAGTAAGAAATCAACTCAACATGCGCACAAGGTATTGAAGTTATAACCTGTTGACTGAAAATGTTACAGGTTGGTGGCTTTCCTTCCAAGACCTAAATAAAGTATACAGTGTCAGTAGCTATACTGATTTAGCACCACGAGCAAAATAGTAAGGGAGAAATGCCCACCTCTCGAGTCTGAAGTTTGAGTTCTTCCATGGCTGCAGCACCAGCACCACTTGCTGCTTGGTATGTGCTGACAACCATCCTTTTCACCTGCCACATTGACGATGAAAAGATTGCCATCAATTTATTTGGTCAGTCCAGAAATGCAACCAACAAGCATACATTTACATGACACATATCGGTACTTATACATTACAAAATACTCGACTCACAATAAAAATGATGTTAATATATGAAGCGGATCGGCACACATAAATAAGAATAACTAATCATGAAAGTCCCTATTGACAGGCTTAACATAAATCACAAAAAACTACTGTATTAAGTACTCGTATCTATCAAATTGCAATGTTCATAGCTTAAAAGGCATCACAATTAGGAGAAATGCAATGAAATATATGGAATTAAATATTCCTATGAACTATGAAGAAGCATCTCTAATTCAAAGATGAGTCTAGTCATTTTTTCAGGATTCAAATTTAAAGACTTTGGTTTTCTTTGGTCTCAGCTATCCCATTTTCCAAATTAATTTAACATTACTTTCTAGTGTGACTGTTAGAAAGCAGGGAACGAAAGGCGACATATGTGCAATGGTACCTTGGCGTGGCGATGCAGCGGCGTGACAGCCATGAGGCAGATGATGGTGGAACAGTTGGGGTTGGCCACAATAGCCCCTTTCCCGAGCCGGACGTCGGCCATGGCCTCGGGGTTAACCTCCGGGATGACGAGCGGCACGTCGGGGTCCATCCGGTAGGCGGAGCTGTTATCCACGACGACGGCGCCGCTGGCGACGGCGGCGGGGGCGTGGGCGCGGCTGATGCTCCCGCCAGCGCTGAAGAGCGCGATGTCGACCCCGTCGAAGGCCCCCGGCGCCGCGAGGTCCTGGACGGTGTAGTCCCGGCCCTCGAAGTCGATGCGCTTGCCCGCGGAGCGCTCGCTGGCGAGGAGGCGCAGGCTGCGGTAGGGGAAGTCGCGGGCGGTGATGACGCGGAGGAACTCCTGCCCCACCGCGCCGGTGGCGCCCACGATGGCCACGGAGGGCCCGTCCTCGCGGAGCGCCATGCGGACCGTGGAGGGCCGGCGGCTGGCGCGGCCCCCGAGCGGGGACGCCGCGAGGAGGTGCGGCCGGTGGACG